GCCTAGGGTGCACCACGTGGAGGTAAGTCTATCGCGCACCAAGAGACCTTCATTTTAGACTTGTTATAAAGTGAATAGTGCTTATAGATCAGCTATCACCATATTTTCATATAAGATTGTAGGTAGCTTATTAAACAGAAACTACAGTGCTAACTGTGGTTAATGAGACAAATTAGGGTAAACCAAGTCACTTTGTTTATAACCTTTGCTAATGTAACCACAGAAGAGGTAGACCTTCCAAATGGTCCTTTATATTAAGTTTTATTTGAATTACGGTCTGAAGTGCAAAGAAATCTAAACGAAACTAAATAACTTAAAACTCAAGTGATGAAGTTTACCACTAAGGTTTTTCAATTTTGGCAACTTATAAGTAAAACCTGAATACTCTGCTATAGTAATTCTATTTGAAAGAAAGACTGCACGGTATACTTTTATGTATCCAAAAAAATCACAGGTTTTTTTCGATTTCATGTTAAATGATTGGAGCTTAAAATGTTTTCCACTAGAATGTGACGCCAATAATCTTACCGCTGAACGCACTTATTAAACCTCGTGATATGTGACAAAGCATTAAACAAAGGAGTTGTTGACTTCACTGGTCATCTTCGATTGTTTACCAGTTCGCCTATGAAAATACCTAGAATTGAAAACGATTAAGACTTTAGGAATGAATGGTTGGAGATTTTCGATGGATATTTCACTTTGGAATGATAAAATACTGATGAAACAGAAACTATAAGCTTTACGACTTCAATATTTAAAATGTGTTTTTGGATGAATGAACGCAACTGTTAAAAACCGAAAGCTAAGAATTCATTTATTGACCAATTCGCATAATATTTGATTTTATCAGCTAAAAGCGATATCATTAACTGAACTTTATATGTAAATAGCTTTTTCAGTAAGTTTTGAAAATGGTCTAAGTTTGTCACTAAGAGTATATAACCCAATAAAGGAGTATGTATCCAAATTCATTAATCTAGAATGTTAAAATCCTTAAATGCACTGAATATGGAAACGGGAAGAAAAACTAATCTGCGTTTTCTTCCATTTATGTAAATAGAGGAATACATCATATGTTATAAACTACATAACTGTGATATGATTAAAGGGTTATCTAGGAAATATTTAAATTGTAGTAGAGAAGAATTGAAACAAGTTACAAGCGAAAACAATAATTATTAAAAACGTATATTTAAACAATACATATTTTCACTTAAATGACAGAATAATATTTTTATAGAAAGGTGAATTCTCAAAATTAGAGAAACCTTACGTTAACAAATTATAACAAACTTTTTGATTGGTAATGAAAACAATTTTTAGTTTTAATATTTTATCATATATATGTTTATCAATTATCATGTTTCAGGTGAATTAAAGTTATTTTGATGAATTAATTAATCCGCGGGTTAAGCAAAACTTCCCCTCATTTCGAAATGCATCTCACTGGCTGGCCTCGTGGTACCTCAGATAAATTTTTGCATCCTGCTCCAGCGTCGAAGACGATCACTTTGTATGTTCAAAATATTGTGTATTTATATGTAACGGTCCTCATTTCATTTAATGTTATGGTTGCAGAAACAGGAATATGCTTGTACACTATAGCTAATAAATTTCATTTCATTCATTGGTTTTTCCAGTGAGTATTTCTATTGTCTTTAGTTCCCTTACTGTAAACCATAATTCTGTTCCTTTGTAACTTCCCCTTATCACTGCCGAGCCTCTTGAATCTGTTGTCCTAGATATCCTCTGAAAAGCTACAGCTTTGGGACAAAAGAGCCCAATTACGAACGCGATCGCAGTGTTCCAGCAAGGTTCCAACGTCTTCAGGAGGATTTTGAAAAGTATGGGATGCGTCATTCGGTAGAAGGCGTTCTTCTAGTGCATGAGCATAACCTCCCACATGTTCTCTTACTTCAACTCGGCACTTTCTTTAAGCTTCCAGGTGGTGAATTGAATCCTGGGGAAGAGGAAATGGAAGGTTTAAAAAGACTATTGTCTGAAGTAAGCAATGATTTTACTATTTGGTCAAGTTTTTTTTCTTGAACATTCGCTTCAGCTTAAACTCTAATTCCCCGAAAATTAACAATGCCTTTCAGTGATGTTTGAGGCTTGTAGTTATGTTACATTCGAAAATCAATTTTTCATGCTGTGTTTTTCATTTCTTCCATATTTTTTAGTTTGTGAGGGGGCATTATCTTACTTTTATCGTATGTTTCTTCTGTGAATGGTGGATTTTTGGTTCGACAAATTTTATTTTATTGTGCTTGAATTTTGCTGGTTGCTCTTTCTTGGTTTCTTAATTAACCGTTGACTCGAAATGAAAGTGAACTTAAAGATATGTTTCGTTGAATTGTACGACTGGTTTCTTTATTAGAGCTCGACTGCTGGATTTCTCTCGAGATGGAAGTTGAAATTATCGATCATTTTAATCGGTCTTAAAGGTTTTCATTTACGTCTTGAGTAATTTGCATTGGCCTGATTTCTTTCTGGTTTTGTCTATCCCTTAAAGTTATCTATATAAGGAAAGCTTTGGAATTTTTTCACAGCTGTCCAAAGATGTGGAGCTCGTGAGCAACTTCATTGAAACTTGTTGAAGACTTTCATGTTAGGCAGATTTCGGGGGCGAATTTATCATTGATGTTATTTTTTTGTTATAGATGTTAGGCCGATCTGACGGCATCCCAGTCGATTGGGTACCTGAGGAATGCATAGGTAATTGGTATCGACCAAATTTCGAGCCACCGCGTTATCCCTATGTCCCAGCTCATGTTACCAAGCCAAAGGAACACACTCGTCTTTATCTTATCCAACTACCAGAAAAGACTATGTTCGCTGTGCCGTCAAATTATAAATTGGTTGCGGCTCCTCTGTTTGAATTATTTGATAATGCACGTGCATATGGACCCATCATTTCTTCTCTTCCACAGGTTCTTAGTCGGTAAGACTCAAATTATGAACCCTGATATTTGGCTGGCTTCTGTTTTCTCCTGAAGCCTAACTAAGAGGGTTATTTTTTAACTATTAGAAATGTAACATTAGACTTTTTTTATCTGGAAATGTCAGTTTCGTAAAAGTACTCTTCGTTGAAAAGGAATGTCTATTGCTCAAGTCCGATGGACTTGAAAATTCGCTTCCCGTGAATGATATGGGTTGAAAACACAAGTCGGTTGAGAAATGTGTTGTGTGAATTGATGGTACATCGTTCCATTTCAGTGTGTCTGATTGCTTCTGTTATCGCACCAACAACGTCGTTAGTAGTTGATTTATGGGTTTTATTTTCCATTTCCTACATAAATCGAGTCAAATTACGAAACCCTTATTCAGTCGCAGCATTTGCCGCCTCTATTTTGCGTTGTAGATGCACTTATTTATTTAATTGTCACCTTGATATTACATCTTTGTTAAATATGAATTTTCTCTCCTTTTAGGTTTAACTTCATCTTCAGTGATTAAGTTCTCCCGTGGATTTCTCCGTTTTGTAAATTCGAGGTTGTTAATAAATGGGTGATATTTATGCAAATAATACATTTGTAACTCGTCCTCTGTGAATACGAAGTACTGTTTTTGTATAACAGCATTTCTCGTGTTTGATTTGGAGGTTGTTATCAAATGCTCTTATATTACGAGGATAGGTCAAAAAGTTCTCAGACAAGTACCATAGTTTATTTATTATCTATATTTCCACCTGCGATTCCCCTCATGGTTAAATTTCGGGGGCTTTCTCTGGTAAATGTGATATTAGGTGCCTTTTCGCTTCTAGTAACAGAAAAGTCTAGACTGTAAGGAGGTTGTGGAAATGTATCCCTTCGAATGTGCAGAGGCATTGCCATGATAGAGCAAAGCTTGACTGTGCAGTTTTTTGGTGACGGACATCTCCAACTTCTTTGAAACGCCTTCACAATAACTTGAGGTGGCTGTTTTCTGTCCAAATGGAAAGTCTATCTATCGAATTACTCATTTTCAATCCCATAAGATGGTGGTCATGACTTTCTAAACGGGCCATTAAGCTTAGACATTGACAGGCCTAGATGTTCCATCGGGAGTCGCTCTTTTGATTGAATTTAGTTTTCTGGTTAACATTGGTAGATCTAGGTTTCGGCTCCGATAACACAGCGCTTGAAAAATTATCCTCATTTGCTTCCATCTTTGTCAAAGTTGGTATGGAAAGTTCAGCTCTTTAGATCAGTGGTTGTTGCGTCTGCAGCGCATCCACCAAGATCTTGCTTACGCCAAAATTTTCATTGAGAATTGAATATCCTGAAGGGTTGGAAATTGATAGCTATTTTTAGATGCAGCCTGTCTTTCTTCTGACTTTTCATAAAATGATCGCACAGTTGTATGCTATTAAGGAAGACATGTTTGAAATTGTAAAGGGCTTTTAAGTCTTCGTTCTATTTTGAGTCGGGACTTGATTGACTCACCCCGCATTTTAGTTCCCTCTTACGTTTCGTTTGACGGTTGCAGCCCGTAAGTGTAGACTCGAGTTAGACTAAGGTTCGGACATCATTAATGTTATCAGAATAGGCAATGCGATGAAGGGGGAAATTTGAGTGACCGATTACAGCTTTTGGGCAAATGGGGACTTACAGATAAGTTCTTAGTTTGGCGATTTTCATTTAAGTTTAGCCATTTTAAATAGAGATTTTTAAGTCATGGGCGGGAGTAAAAATGCAGTTTGTAGCAGATTAGCTACCTTAATAAGACTTGACCATTCTCAGAAACCTCTATATCGTATCTCCTATTCGGTAAATCTCCCGAAATTAACTATGACACCACAAGCTGCAGAAGAAACAGCCGCATTACCAGGACTAAGTTTCTTCACAAAGGATGTGGCGTGAATGGTGCCTTACAGGATGTTACTAATCCTTCAGCATGGCGGTTTCCGTAGAACAAAAGTAGGCTTTCGATCGGCCATTGGCTGTGTGTTCTCCGCGACCAATCCGTACGCGAAGTTGCACGCGGCACCTTCAAATCAAATACTGACTTCATCTGCTCATCAGTGAAACGATCTCTCTTTGGCTTCCCTCAACCAACTTGATGATCCTCTTCCCTCTCGTTCGATCACCATTTCATCGACTCCCACCTTTCGAGCACTCTTGCTCCTCCAAAATGTCTCAAGAAGCCTAGTTCGCCAACCCTCAGAAATCAAATATTTTAAATAAATGAAACAAATTATGTCTAATTTCCTGTATGACAATAACTAATTCTAGAGCATTACAGTGAATATAAATTCGGAGAATTTCTGTGTTTACCAGTTTAGTTATTTAAATTCTACTTTCACGATATTGAATTTCTGGGTAATATGAGTAAGTGTTTAAATGTAAAAAATGCTGATTTGACTCCCTAAGAATATGTAATTTGGTAATTTTGTAAAAAAACAGAAGTAAAATCTTGTCATTATCGAAGTTGTCTAATTCTTGCTTGGAGTTATTAAATAAGCGAAATTTTTGTCTTAATATCCCACAAATATTTGAAATTTTCGAAAATTGTACAGTTTCCTAAAATTTAGAGTGTATCAGTTTATTCATCATGAAGCTTTATGAAACATGATTGCAGTGTAATACAAGTTATTGGTATATCATCAAGTACATATGTATATCAAGTGCCTAAACTTAAATCTCAAATGGCTTCACATAAATTTTAGTGACTGGAAATTGCTGTGAATAGAGGGTGTGTCATAGACTTACCTCCACGTGGTGCACCCTGAGCAACGAATACTCATACGGCGAAAAAATTTTAACCGGCAGTTGACTTCTAACTACTATGACCCGACACTATGTCATATTACACCACTCACAGTATTCATCTTACCTTTTCTCTACCTTTGTGTCTGTCTTTCTTACATCTGTGAATCACCATTCTGTCCCTCCTCTCGAATTTCCCTCCCCTCTTTGATGTTTTCCCCTCTGTGAAGCCCGAAGTCAGCTAAAGGGCTAATGATAACTATCAAAACTCCTCCGATTCTAAATAAATAAATAATGCAATAAATATAAGTAAGTTGTTTAGCGGTTTATGGAATAGATCATCTTTGTTTGGTTATAAAAAGCGCAGTCGTCCTAATGGTAATTTTTCCCAACTAGAATGTCTAATTCAAAAAATTACCGTCCGGAAAATGTCTCTCAATGTTGGAATTTTCAAAAATTAGGTCCAATTCCTCGATATCGCTAATAGAATTCATCTCGAGTTAGAACCACAAAGTCAATGTGGTGAAAGAGTACTAAAACATGGCGTGTATGAATTAACCAATTAGTTTACTCTTCCCCTTTTTCGAGTTTTCTTTAATGACGCCCCGTACACACTGATCAACGAATCAGAGACCGCTGATATATGTGACCGTGCACCTGGACATGAGAGCTTACTAGCCAATCATAATTGTATAAGATATTTTTGGTCTGGCGATTGGTGTAGAGGTAAATTTTAGCGTACGAGAATCCTGGAAAATAAAGTGCTACTGACATGAATTAAATAATGTGATTTAAAAAATCGATATTTAACAGTATAGTTGTTGCAAGAATATCCAAACCTTATAAAGATAAATGTACATAGAAATTCAGAGCAGCTTTCTTACCATTTTCGGTTGAAATTTACCAAGATAATTTGAACATTAATAGTATAAAATAGAATAGGGGAAATAAATGCAATTTTACAATTAGCAGAATGACTTAGATTAGAGAAACGCTTTATTCCCATTTCGCCTTTTAAACGGGCGGTGGAGACCGCGATCTATCGCATCCCAAGCATATTTTGACCTCACAATTTTATATTAGCCATTCCAGTCAGTTCCCATCTAGTGGAAAATTTTCCAAGATAAATGAATGAAAAACTCATTTTGAAAAATCTAAATATTCTATAACTTGGGAAAGTCAGATGAAAGTTCTATAATCAGGAATACTTCCATACCAACCAATTCAGACTTTGAGTGGATAGACCAATAAATGAGGTAGTTGGAACATTAAGTCGTTACTCCACAGTTTGTCTTCCTTTCATTAAATTCCTTAATAGATTTTTAATATGATTTGTTTGTCGGCTATGACAACTTTTGATTGATGGATAGAATGAATGCTATTTGAGTTACTTAGTACTTTCACTGAATCTGTCTAAGGCAGGATACTGCCACAATGTAACTATTTTAATTGTCTTGTATATGTGCCATTAAGCGATTAAAGGGTGCGATATCGAGATTTTCTTTTACTGCGCTACGAATACCAAATTTCTTGTGGACAATAACTATGCTTCACTCACCATTCCACTTATTGGTAGATCAAAAACCGTAATTAGGGCCCGAACCGAAGAGAAAAATACATTAAATAGGGAGTATTTTCTGCTCTCTTATAACATTATCTAAAATTCAATAAAAGAGTACTATTGATTGGTCGCAATTTGGTCATGTCGGACTCAGCTAATCGCCCCCCCCCCCTCCAATTTGAATGTTATGAATTCGGAGACTCCATAAAGAGGCGATTTCCCTTTTCATTTAAGATGGATTGAGATGGTCTTTACAATAACTATAGTCACTAAGCCATAGACTAACTCGTCTCTAGAGTACAAGCTTAAAGAAGGAAGACGAAGCTTGATTACTTAAATTACTAAATAACAACGAATTATTTCCACAGGCAAGCGTGGAATTTGGAAGAATGATAATAATTGACTGCGAACGACCGATTACCCAGACACTTTCAATTCGATTGGTTATTTGGGTACCTTATCAAGGGAATAGTTTCGTAAAATATGCACAAGTATGATTTTGAGAGAATTTGTTGCCTCGGGGTTCCCTTTGTCCCTGTGTGACTCAATTGCAGCTTTTATCTAAAAATATTTTAGCTATCTATGGATTAATTCTGTTTGGTTGCATTCTATTTCTTGCCAATCCTTACTCTTCTATCCTATCGTCGAATTTTTATTTTACTTCAGTCATACGTTAAAAATCGGTCATCCAACTTTT